ATTCTATGATTCTATGAAACTCCACAGCTTCAAGCAGACAGCAAGGTGCAGTGTTATGTTTTTAATGTTTAATCCTTCAACAAAGAGATTAAAAACTTTCCCTCATTCTCTTCCTGGTGGTGTAAATTCTGTGGGATAATTACAGAGGAAATTCCACAGTAATGCACAATGACAGAAACTCTACAGCTGTACCTCTCACAGGAGTCTTACCTAGGGCTCTGTTGATTCCCTGATCCTTTGCAAGTGCCATAAGGAATCCATAGAAGGTCAGTCTCTGTGCGCTACTCAGCATCTCTTTCACAAGAGCAGATGGTGGACAGCTAGGAAAAGAGAGACAAAGAGGTCATCTTGTCTTTTAAATTATAACCTTTTTTTTCCCCCCTGAAGACCCATCTCAAACTGGAGAATAAGCCCTTTTTCCCAGTTCTAACACTGTCAAGTTGCCCTGGCTCAGTTTAAAACAAATAGCCACCAGCTTGCTTATTTAGCATTGCATCTGCTCTTCATTTGCTAGGCAAAACGTCTGAGCTGGAGTACATCCTTAGGAGCAGTCTTACCTACCTCCATTCCAAGGACAGAGAGAAAAGCCTAGATTCACTCAGAGACATACATACCCCAAATCTTAGCATATTCTTTCAAAAACCAAGTGGGAAATAATTTGTTTTAGAAGACAATAAACTTTCATGAGGGTTGTTACGTTGTTATCACCCCTTTTATCAGTGATAGTCATCCAAGAGGCAGGAAAACCTCTCCAATGATAGACTAAATATGTCAGAAAACAACATTTAGGTGGGAACTAAATTTACACGTCCTCTTCTTCTACACTCACCTTAACCCCTGGCCCGACTTCTAAGCAATATCATCACAGTGATTCTTGCTCTTGCCTAATAGTCCTTAAAGGATTTAATGCAAAATAAAACTGCCTCATAAAGAGGAAGTGTTGAACACTTTGTGGTGCTGGGGCACCCCTGGGAGATGTGGGTGTGGGCTGGTGATCCCTCAGGCAAAGGCGGTTACCAAAGCCTGGCTGACTCCTGAGCTACTGGATGAAAGGCTGGTAATGGCTCAGTGGTGTGCAGAGCCTGACCTACCAGATGGGCTCACAATATCCTTCCCAGCTGAAGCTCTCAGGACATACAGGGATTGTTGAGCTTTTGTTATTTAAAAGAACCAAACCACCTGGCATCTCTGTGCTTTGATGTCTATAGTGCTAGACAGCAGTTCAGCAGTAATTTTGTGGATTACAAATTGGGATCCAGGCACCTAAAGAAGGAATCATGTGGAACTTGTGTCTTGAGTCTTTTTGTGGAGGTAGCCCATGACCTTCTAGCAGGGCATGTGCTTGCTACCTGCAAGAGACTATGCAAAGCTATACAATAAAGTCTGCTATTGCTCCATCCCCTGCTGATGCCTGGGATCTGTGACCGGAGACCAGCTCTCTCACAGGCTCAGGCACAGACTAGCAGTGTGATCTAGTACTAAGGCTTCAAACTCCATCCACCTCAGTGGGCCTTTCCTATGCTTCAACACTCAAGAACACAACTGCATTTGTTTATCTCCTCTAGTTGACTCATGATGGTAGGTGGACCTCTCCTTGATGAAAGTGTCAATGCAGAAGTGAGAAGGAAAGCAGAGACTCAAATCAATCCATTACTTCAAGAATCATCTCAAAACCCATATTCCTTAGGTCCATTAAATTGTTTCTCTCCTTTAGTTAAAGCGGTTTGCCTCTGATCTCTCCCTTCGTACTTCTCCAGCGAGATCTATCTGGGAGTTACAGCTTATTCAAAGTCTTGTGTTTCTTCACAGCTCCAACCTTACAAAGGGTCTCCAGAGACACAGCCTTCAAATCTGTGTTTTGGACTCCATCCATACCTGTATTTTGATCTGTCGCACAGGGACTCCAGGCACTGGTAGAAGAGAGATGCCTCTACCCCATCAAGTGGGCTGCAGTCATTTGGGGGCTGGCGCTGCCGATGTTGCCCAGAGGATGATGTTGGCACAATCACAGTATTTGGATTCTTACCAGCCAGTAGATCTTGGTAAATGGCAGCCACGCTTTCCAGGAACTCTGAAAAAACAGAAAGTGACTTAAAACTCCAGGCTATAACCAGCAAAGCATCCTCCTAACCTACCAGACCTGGGATTAAACTGTAATTCCCTGTGTTCTGTGTTGTACATAGCACCAATAGGAAATAAGAACAACACTATGGCATCCTGCGTATTCAGACCAGATTTTTATGCAGGCACAAACAGCCACTTTAATATAAATTGCTGGCTTCCTCCTGTCAGGATGATGATGAGAGGCCACTCTGTTGAACAAGATTCTTCTCAAGGGATCAGAGGCTAGCTAGCACATGGATAAAACAGTGGACCATGAAAACTAACATCGAACACAAAACTAGTTTGCAAAGTCTAAAAAGTTTTCCCTTCCCCATCTCTTGCCACTCCCATCCAAGTTGGGAACAAAGTATATGGAACTGCAACAGGAGGAAAGGGAACAAGCTAGTCAGGGCTCCAGGCTGCATCCCAGCTTGTCTCTCTGCTCCTCCAAAGTAAATATAACACGGGATCTAGAGGAAAGGCCAGGGCAGGTCAGGGCTAGAATTGGCAGAAAGCCTCTCCCCAGACTCCTCTTACTACCCACTGTTTACTGCAAGAGTCTAATTTTAAATGATTGTTTATGGATGTGGTCAGCAGTTTACAAATCTAGATTCCATTTGGAGTGGTTTGCATGTGTGTGGGTTGGTGGGAGAGCGTATGACAGGCTGCGTGTGTGCGTTGTGCCTGGGTGAGCGGGACAGGGGTGGCATGTTTGAGTGTGTGTACACAAGGACGGGCTTGTGAGGACTCCAGTGGCACTGGAGTCCAGAGTGCATGGAAGTGTAATGCTGTGCGTGAGGCGGGTGGAGAGGAAAGGCAGGATGTCAGCAGGCCCTGAGGCTGTACTGAGGTTCTGCAGCTCACTGGAAATATTTGTTATATCAGACAAAAACTTTCCAAACAGATTTTCTGTTCCCAGCTAAAGGCACTACAAGCATGGCTCTGTCCAACCCACAATCACCATTTTGCACTGTTTTTCTTTGATGAATTGTCATGGATAACATTGTGATATGCACAGGGGAGGTACAGGGGAAGTATATACAGAGAAGTACTGAGAATAAGAGATTTTTGCATTAGGGATAGCAGCTGACTCTTAACTGCTAGAAAGATGGGAACTGACCGGTTGGATCAGATCAGCAGGCCACCCAAGTCTGCCCTCTGACCACAGACTATGCTCCACCACAGCTTCTAGCCAGTGTCTCCTGGTATTCAAACCTGGCCCCTTTTGCCTCATCAAGGCCAACTGTGAGCTATGTCCATCAGAGTGGACAGAAATCCAGGAGCTTGTGTTGTCTTTAGGAAGTGCTCTCTGCTGGGAGGCGAGTAAGTGGCACGCCAACAGTCCCCAGTGCTTGGCAGTATATCTAACTTTGAAAAAGTAAATGCTTCCCCCTCTTTTTCCCCACTTAAGCAGTTCTCTGAATGAGACTGCCTTTCCCTAACCACATTTTAGGGGGGCTAGGACAAATGGGCCAATGTATTTTAAAGTAGTCTCCCTGCACAGAACAAACACCTGAATGCTCATCCAAGTTTCTCCTCTTTATCCCCTGAACTTTAATTTAAAAATACCTGGGGTTTTTTTGCAGATGTATATGTGTGGGTGAGCATATGTAAATACACACACACAAACTAATATTGTTTAATTTGTACTTTCCCTGTCAAGATTTTTAAAAGAAGTACCCCATCTAGGTAAAACTGGGGGAGACAGGTAGAATATGATAAATAACCAATAATATGAAGAGGGTAGGTGGGGATTAACTGCTCACTTTCTGTTCCAACTAGGAGCTCTCAAATCAAACAAATGCAGTGGTTCTTCATGGGACAGGCGGCAGACCTGTGCAACTTGCCAAAAGGTGTTGTGGAGGTTACAAGTTTATGTGATTTCAAGGGGATGCTGGAGAAGTTATTGGGAGAGGAATCCACTGAGGGTTCCTAAACCCATGGAAACTATACCCCGTTCAGAAACTCTTTGAGCTGAAAACCAGCTCATAGTTGGGTGAGTATTAGGGGGAAGAACTGTAACCATTTGTCCAGTTCCTTTTCCTTTCAAGGCACTAGCTGGTGGGCTTTTCTTATCCTGTCTCCAGCAGGGACCAATACTTTAGAGGCAGAAATACTATTTTAAGGAAAGGAAAAAAAAATGTTCCTAGTAGAAGTTAATTGTGAGGTGCTAACATACTCTAGATAAAGCTGGAAATTTATGTCTTAGCCTTAAGACAAATACATGCATAAGCCATAACAGATACAGGTATCTAGTTATTCACAAATATTTGGAACCACCTTATGAAGCCTCCTAATCTCTTGTCAACAGTAGATTCCATTATCTATATATTTTCTGTGAAAAACCATATCCGTACAAGGTTCAAAGAAGTGCAGGGATTGGGAAGTAAAGTTGCAATGCTATACTAGTGGGTGAATTCAGCAGCTTCCCAGCATTTACCTGAGTAATAGAACTGGATCTGGAAAGCAAAGAGGAAATCGGAAAAAGACATCAGGCAATCCATAGCATCATCCATCAGCACAATCCTAGGATAAGAAAGAAAAACAGTTTAGCATGTACAAAAGAACTAAAGTCTGTAACCAGGAAGCCCAGATCTAAAGAAAGTGCGGCTAGGGAGCTATGTGCAACTCAGGATTGCTGGTGGCCTGGCCCAGGAAAAGAAGTTAGGAGAGAGGAATAGGAACACCCACTGCTGCATGGATGGGGACACCCTAATATCAAAAGAAGGCAGCAAAAGGACCTGCAGGAGGGAGAAGATCCTGAATGTCAGTGCTATCACACACGTTAGCTACAGTGTGAACAGAGCAGCATGACATGGATGTCAGGCATTCAAAGCCTGGCAGACACAATGGAACCAACACTGGCATAAAAACTGCAAGGCTGGTTCACATGGCTATACAAAGAGTTAACTGTGCCACAGACAAGAGAGTTACACGGGTAGTAAACTGGTGTAAACAGAATGAGACTTATGCTATTCCTCTTTATACCAGAGTTCATCAAACCAGGATATTTTCCGATTCATCAGGATAACAACTGTTACTAATTCCCAATCTATACTCAAACAAACTCCACTACACAGGAAGTAACGTTGCACCAACAAGCAGCTTTCTGATTACACACTGTGAATATCCTATCTTCCCTTCCTGATGAATGAATCAGTCTCTTTTCATATCTATCAGGTCTATCATTTGGCTCTCAGGTCAAATTTCACAGAAAATAAGACTTCTTAGGCCAGGGACAATGTCTTCTTTCTCTCTGCTAAGCCTCAGGTGCACGTAGGGAGCTACATGCATCCCTATTTTGAAGCATACTTCATGAGAATGGAAACTATCACCCACAGGCCATAAAGACGAAGTATAAGCAATAGCAAAGTCCAACTCCTCTTTTCAGGAAAAAACTCTGAATTTCAGAGTTAAGTTAGGGCAAAAGTGTTCATATACTGAAAACAAAAGCAATGCTCTGGTCACTGCCACTACATAAGGATGAAAAGGTCAGTATCTGAAGTGGTGAAAATCAAACTTGGGCTGATCAATGACAGCCCAGACTGGAAAACAGAAGGAAATGCTCCACTTTGATGGGAAAAAAACAGAGTATTTGGACGATGCTAAAGAAAGGTAGTTGGTACTTCAACCGTGCGCAGGTCTACTGACCCCGTCCGGTTGGTATTTGGCACATCATGTGATAAGAGAAGGATTACCAGTTCATTATAGCCAAAGTACGGGCTATCCAGTAGGAGCCTTTTGAATCTGGGGCCAAATGCAATCCATGGACCAACTCCTGCAGCATCAATGCTCTAAACACGTTGCTGGGGAAACACTGTTCTGTCTTATGTAAAAGACTCCAGGGAGCTGTGTGGGAGGCTGACCTAGAAGAGTTATGGGATCTTGCAAGACTTCCCTGCCACTCACACCAGTTCTGTTCACTGTGGCAAAATCAAACATGTAGAGCAGCCTGAATTAATCATGTCAAAGAAGAAAGACTGGGGCTAAGAGGGTCCCCAGGAGAAAAGCCAGTGTTTAAAACAAAACCCTTTGAAGATGTCTAAGTGCTTCTGATTTATTTATTATGTTCCAGAAGCCTCCTCCTCCTGTCTAAAGAAGCAGTAGCTTCAGTTCTTAATTCTCACTAATAAGCATGTTACTGAGATTGTCAGTGGCCACATCAAGGAAACAGCTTTGAAGCTGGCAGGCAGAGCATCTTCATCTCTCAGGCAATACAGATCAGCCAATGGCATTTCCAACCACTATTTAAGCACTGGAAATGCAATGGGCCACATTGCTGACGAGTGGCACTCCCTCCTTTGAAATGATTGTCTGTCTCCCAGATACCCTCAAAGCACAAGCTCTGAAGGTTTTGCCAGTGCATTTCTCCATCCTGGAGATGCAGGAGAACAACACTGAAGAGGTTTTTTTTTATGTATCTGTTATGCAGAGAGACAATATTGCATCACCTTCATGAGAATCAACTAATTTCACTTAAATCTAATGCTATGGTCAATGGCTGTGCTCTGCAGCACCAAGTCCCAGTCTCTTAGAGGAGAGTATGAAGAAGTAGGCAGAGGTCTGAGAATTTGCTGGACATTTTTTGCTGTTAAATACAGCAAGGAGCCTCTAAGGAAGACTGTACAGCACACATGTGATGGAGGAGTGTCTAAATAGAAGCAGGTGCACTCTGGTGCTGGGTTACTGACTCCACTTGGCCCAGGAGTCTGAACTCCGGAAATGTTGAGAAGTCTTTAAATCCAATACAATCATTTACGAGGAGATTGACTGCAGCTGGCTATTTCCCCACATAGCCAGCTGACTGAGCAGTCAGGGAAGCTGGGAGAGCATCATATGCAACATATCTGCACCTCTTCCCTGAAATATCTGGCAAGGAGAGAATCCTAGCCATGGACTGCAACCCAGACAGCACCACCAAAGTTGAGGACAAAATCTGACAGTCTGAACTGCAAATCAAAAGAGTTAATCAGGTAGCTGATATTTCAAGGGATGCTTTATTCATTCTTTCTTGTCCAAATTAGACTTTAAGCCCTCAGGGGCACAGACTTATTTACAAAGTTAGTAGTCAGCACTCAATTAATAATGAAAATCAAAGAGAAACTTTGGAAAAGACTGAAGAAAGATGCCTACACTGGAGGGACTCTGTTAAAGGGTGCAGTGGTCTTTCAGGGTTTTAGTGGGTTTGGCTGGCAGGAAAGCCTTGCTGCTGTGCCAATGGGGAAGCTTTATGATCTACTGATTGTGGTTAAAATCTCAGAAACCCAGACTAGACAGGCTGTCCCCAGGACAAACTCTGGACCAGGCAAGTTGAAAGGACTTTTACTGTTCTATGCCAAGATTAAAGGCTAACTGACATAATCTATCTTAAGGCCAGCGTGGCTCAAACAAGCCTTCAGGGACTTGGTTTGTTTACTGATACATGGTGGCAAAAATAAGCAGAACACACAAAAAGGGCAAGATCTGCACTCTTAAGCAATCTTTTAACAACAGGAGTGCAGACTTGCAAGCCCCCCACTTCCATTCGTACCGATCAGTGCAACATGAGCTCCCATACCTTGTAAAACAGCGTAGGAGTTCTGAACTCTCACTACTCAAATGTGGGCAGCGAGTTCCTTGTGTTTCTATTACAAGAGAAAAGTCAGTGCTCAGGTACAGATCTTGAAATCATGGCATCAAACCAGAAGAATCCCAAAAGGTGTCTCTGAAGATCAAAGGTATCTCTGTAGGTTAAAATCTTCAATCTGCTAATGGCTATAATCCTTTGAAGAAAAAAAAAAATCCAAGAAATCTCACAGACACAGATAGCCTGGTTCTTTTTTGGGCATGACTTCTGCATTTGTGTAGAACCAGGAACAGAAAAATGGAGCTCTCCGGTGTCACGTGAATAAAACCTGTATTGTTGTAGCCTCTGTTCTTCTGCTCTGACATTTCCTGATCTTACTCCTAGTGTTTGTTATCAGTGCGTAGCAACAGCTCCTGGATGAGTGGAATGCACCATGCTGTGAGATCATCTCAGTCATGCAGCACTGAGACTACAACTACGACTGCTCTCTTCCCAAAAGCGCCAATAATTACACAGGTCCTGGCTGTATCGGTGAATGCTGTGGCTACTCCTGCCGCTACTTTATTTAATTCCTTTCCCAAGCAAATTAGCAACAAAACCTTTGGGGGTGTGCAGACTGAAGGAGGAACAATGTCAGTAGGTTCATGTGACACTCATGCTTTGCAAGAACTCAGTCTGCAGAGTTCACCTTTCTAACTGACAGAGACCAAGGAGGACAATGGGAAGTGTAGACCAGAAAAAGAACAAGAGAGTGAACAACAGTTGGAAGGAAAGAGAAAGATGATTTAGAGATATGACAAGTTTTATTAAAATTGTTCAACTAGATTAGCTTGTAACAGAATAATAGCAATGTGTAAGTAAATCTCTAGCCACCCAAAGTAGGAGTGAGGTCATCCCCACCTGAGCCTGGGTGCCTCTGAAAGAGATCCCATTTCTCTCCAACACCTGCTCCCAAAGCCGGCTTGTCTGTCTCTACGGCACACGCACAACAGTGCGGCAGGCCCCTGAATGGGGCCTCTAGTTTACAACAGCCCTGTGGATTAAATTCCTTGATGCAAACATCATAATGTGTAGACATACTGAAGTCTCTTTTCATGCACCATCACAAATTCCTGCTCAGCTCAGCTGGAACCCTATGAAATACACACCAGCGCACGGGACTGGTGCTTGTGTGCCTCCATGAAAGGAAGCGGCAGATAAATCCTCACTACAGGGTTAGCATTCTTTCTTAGTCTGGCACTGGAGGCCAAGCAACTGTACTCTGTGGAGCCCCAACGGCCCACTGATGAGCTAGAGGGAAAAGCAGCGCTCAACTTTTAGTTTTAATTGAACCAACACAGCTTTAACTGCAGCTCAATTCAGATAGCAGCACGTAGGAGCTAGGGAAGAATCCAGAGAATCAGCCAAGTGGAAGTACCAGAAGATGGATAACACTCCTCTTTTTCACTTTCCTTTCTTAATATAATTTTCATGAGACTCTGACACTTAAGAAAGATAGCAGAATGCCAAATAGAAAATGAGGACCTTTTCATTATTTAGGCCATGAACAACGTAGGCAGCAGCTAATATCCTGATCACATGTCTGGATCCTGTTTCCAAATGTCATGTCTAGGTCCATGAAAAAAGTTAAATTTCCATGTCCCCTCTGCTGAGATGGCTAGGAATGAGAGCATTTATTCAGTAACCTTGCTGTGATTGTATATATGTTTATGTGTGTGCACACACTCCTACTGAGATCTGAACTGACCCCCCACCCCAAAAGATGCATATAGCTTATTACATTTTCACTATCAGATAGTTAATAATCAACTGCCTGGGCTGGACTGGAACCAGCAAGCACTATCAGTAAAAAGTTCCAATATCACATTATCAGTGCCCTGAGCCATCTATCTGCTTTAGGCCTTGTCTAGATTAAAATCAAATTTCAAACAGATTAGCTACCATGTTCTTAGCTAACGTACTTTAAAACACTGGCAATCGTTCAGAGGTTAGTACCTTTTAAATGGGATCAACTGTAGGAAGCTGGGGCAAGGGGGAACGCACTATAAAGATGGTAAACAGTATTTGAATGGAGTTTAAAATCATGTCAGTTAAAAACACATTGGCTGACATTCTTTTATATGCAACCCATCTTCTGAATGTAGAGCCAGCAGCAGCATTCTGCACTGATATTTCAGTCCCTCTATACCTTAAATATACACGCTTTCTCATTGCTAGAAAAACACCCTGTTCTTAACCTCAAAACATGGTATCTCTTTTCCCCAAAATCTTAAAAGCTGAAGTTCTCTGTACATACCTTTACCCACAGATCTAGTTCCTGAGTCCATGTGTGTAGGACTGATCTTGTCTTAAAAGACAGGATGAGAACTCACCTTGCTGCTTTCTGAGTGAGTTCCATTGGGAAGTCAGGGCAGAGCAGCTGCAGCAGGCAGTGGTATTCCTGTGCTGTCAGCAAATCTGCAGGAAAAGAAAGGAGAGAACATCGTAATTCTTTTGCAGGCTGTTCCCTCCCCTTGCTTCCTCTCTAGGAAAAAAAAACCTCATATTCCCTTCTACTCTCAATTTAAGTAGACTGGGTACTAATGACAATATAACTGCTCCCTAGACTGGGCGCTTCAGATAGAGTTTCCAGCAAAGACAACCAGAAAGAAGCACAATAAAGGGGAAATCATACTGAAGAGGCTTCTGCAGAGAAACTGGTAACAGGTACTGATTCAGTGTGAAAAAGAGGTAACCAAAACAGGGCAGTTTCAAGTGAGAACACAGTTTGGTTTGACTTGAATATAACCATGTGGAAAAAGGAATAATTTCAAAGCTGCTTAAATTTGCTGAAATTCACTGGCATGGTGACATTCACCACAATACGCCTGAAAACCATCCACAGAACATCTGGCAGCAGTAACAAAGGCAAACAAGGTTTTTGGGTTGTGTATGGAAGGCTACAGAGTATAAACCACAGACGTTATTACTTTGGCATTCAGTGAGGCAGCTGGATGGTCTCGTTTGGAATAATGTGTACAAATCTGGTCACTGTATTATAGGAAGCACAGAATGAAGATCCAGAAACCACAAGAAAACCAATCAAATTACTCATGTTTTAGAGAGCAGCTTTGTGAAAGCCTGGTCAAGAAAGGCATCTGTGGTTCAGCACAAGGAGTCTAAAAGAGGTGACTCTTAGTGAAGCTTATAGGATCTCAAGGGAATGGAAACATACTGATGTCAAAAAGCCCTACATGATTGTATGTTCATGGTCCAAAAGGCTGTGGACTGGAGTTAAGAAGACTAGCAGCAATTTTGCAGTACTTCTATATACAGAAGAATGCAAACTATGGTAGAAAGAGCCAGGGGTGGAAGTAGAGCCAAGCAGTAGTCAGAGAGGGGATCCAAAGGGCACAGGCATTAGGACTGATGCACAGAGTATAAGTTCTTTTGCCACAGACATATCTTAGCCTTTCTTAGGCTCCCATCCAAATAATTAACCTTGTCCCATATGATAGCCACCATTTCTCCATATCTCCACAACATCTCTAAGCCTGGCAGTTCAGCAAAAGTGAGAGAAAGAGAAAATGCTATGCCTTTGTCAGATGTTTCAAGAGACAGGTACACAATATATCACTGCGACATCCAAACCAGACAAATTAATATTTTCAAGGCTGACTGAAGAAATACTGCAGAAGAACTGTAATAAAAATCAAATTATAGACTTTTTCCTTTACCTACATTCTTAGCCAGGGAAGTGGAGGAAAGAGAGGAGAGAGATACTATTTTTCTGTTCCATTCAGGAAACCCTACAGCTGTGAAACACTGTTGTCAGAGTCTTTGACATCCATTATAGGCACTCTCTAGAATACTGTACTTTGCACTGCTCTTGGGACGACTTTCTATTGAATTATTGAATTAAGCACTTTAGGTTTAGGGTCATGCTATGACAAGGTGACTTAGCGCTGTCTGGAAGAGCCAACTCTGCACTCAGAAATCGGCTGTAACACAAGGAAGTCCCAGCCTGTGCAGAACTACAATACCACTGCAGGGATTTGTGCAACCTATTGTACTGTAGGGATAAATTCATCAGAATCTTCTTACAAAACCCGAATGCTGAGCTGAATTAAATCTCTGTACCTGCACTGAAATTACAGATGTCTGTGAGAATACGGAGGGCAGTGTAACTGGTTTGTATTCTCATTTCTTACTAACACACAAATCAGAGGCTGCTGTCTGTTGCAGATACTACCTTGGTCCTTCAGTCAGTGTATATCTGAGCTTGGGTTAATGATGGTATCCAGTGGAATGATGGGATTTTCTCCTGTCGTGTTAGCTAATCAGTTCTTTGAATGTCATCAAGGAGAGTTTTATGCATAACTGCAAAAGGATATTATTGAAAAAGTCCCAGTTATCATGAGCAGGAAGACACATATTTTTAACCGATTTTTCAGCTCACTCTTTTTCTTTCATGACCCTACATAGAGGAAAGCAAATTTTCTTCTGTTATTGTTTTAGATCAACAGTCATTTATAGCAATAGAGATTTTGGTCCTAAGTTCTTAAGAAAACTATCTGATCATGTAAGGTACATGCAAGTTTCATAAAATCATCTTCAACAGGCTCAGCATAGGAAGCAAGAAAACAGAGAAGTTGGGCGTAAAAAGGCTCTTCTGAAACAGACACTTTCTGATAACTGAAGAGGACAGTATGGACCTCTTACAGCTACTCTTTAAGGCTTTCTAACTCTAGCTTTGAATAATGCTGGGCATTAAACTTCTGATCTTTGTCTAAAAAGTCTACATGTTAGTCTGAAGGAGTCACACCATTTGGAAGCTTTATGCAATACCCAATTTACGTTTTCTGTTTTATTAAGTTCTAATTCTTATTTATGCATCCTTATACCTTTTTTTTAGCTCTCCACTATTTTTTCCTTTCATTTGTCAACAGATCATTATAATAACCCTTTCTTCATACTCTATCTTATTCAATATATTTAACTGATAACTATATTTATTTTTAAAGTCTGTTCAAGTTTATCTTACACTCTACATCCCTCCCTCCCTAGTCCAGTCATATGCTCTGCTTTGATCCCCTTTAGATTTTCACAGTGCAGTGTCCAGCAGTGTATAAAGCATCCCTCCTGCATTCAGAACAGACAGCCTCTAGAAGGATAATCTGCCCACTTCTACCTGTGAAGCCCCTTTTCATTTATTCTGAATCTTAACCTCCTCTTTTCTCCCCTTGAAGGTGAAGGAGTTCAAGGTTCCTTTGAAGGATGAGGTTTCCCGAGAAAGTTGCACTTTGTTGGCAGTCCCTATCAGGTTGCTAGACAAAAGCAGCTTGAGAGGGTAACTGGGCCCTAAGCAAGCATTAGTTTTGAGGCATAGAGACCTCTCACTTGCTGGAAATAACATACTTTTAAAACTTATTATAATTTACCCTGTCTTTTTCTCCTCCCTTTTCATACCAAGTCATCCTTACTCCTCCATCACAAAACAACATAGAGCAAAAGCAGAAGTCTACTCAAAAAGACTTTGGGAAAGGGTAGCAGAGATCCTCTCCAGCCAGCACATCAGAGGATTAATTGTCAACAAAAGTGGCATCAATTACAGTTTCAGTCTTTGAGCAAATGGTCTAGTTAGATGGGAACTGCACACAAAGCTGAAGTGGTGCAGAGAAGTTCCTTCTCTGAAGAAAGAAACCCTTTGCTTCTTATGCCTAGCGAAACAGCACCAAATCAGTCGCTGAAGTGTACAGGCAGACACTTTGAGGCCGTAACACAACTCAGCCTGTGGACACCCCAGGCGCCTGACCAATAAATCATATAAATTTCTCAGACACAGGAAGGGGGATCACCACAGACCTGAGGAAGTGCCTACAGTTTACTGGGATGGCTGTTTTCCTGTTCCCTACAGCAAGGTCAGTGAAGACCATGCAGAAAATTACATTTGCCCGTGTACCATGTTGTCTGCCAAGAGCTGCTTGGAATAAACAAGGGCAGTTTTGGTGCACGACCACATTGCTCCTTCCTGTCGCCAGGCCACAGCTGAGTAAATAGTGTTCAATGGTACACGATGAAGAAAGAAAGAAAAGAAGGAAGGTACCAGTCAGAATGAGTGAAAACTGGAATCCATAACTGCTAGTTTGGTTGCTACCACAAATTACTGTATCTCAAGTTCCAATAACAAATGAAGTAAATCACGGAGAGTTTAAATCTGACCCCACAGTGCAGGGCAGTGAGCTATATGCACTCTGCCGTGCTCTCACAGTGGAACAAACTTGGTCATAGCACGTCCTTAAGGATGGAGAGAGACTGCAGTCTTCATGGTAACCATGTTCATTTACAGCTGAACATAACACTTTGCTCTTCTACTGCAAAGCAGCTAATATCCAAAGTGTTTTTAAAACAGCAGTATACTAAGAAGGAGCTGGGAGGCTTAATAGAGTAAGTACAGAAGAGTGAAGTGGGATGGCTAGTGTTGCACAGGAAGTATTTTAACTGATCAGTAATAATTTTTGCTGTACTGGTCTTCAAACTCCTGCTCAGCCTCTACTGCCGCTGCTACCATGTCACCAGCAAAATCCGGACTCTTCCCTACAGATCTCACTGTGTGTGAGTAGTTCATTGTCTTTTAGTGCCTGAAGCAGACCCTTCCTTATGTCTCAGAGGCGTAGCAGAGAAGAAGTTTGTCCATGTGGTACAGTCTCAGAAAATAAACACCGCTTTCTGAATAAAAATGGCCTACTTTTGAGAAACATGAAGGCAGCTGCTTCATATTTCCCTGGCTTTTAAAACGCATATTGTTTCTACCAGCTTTGTTTCTGGTTTGTATGTGGCTGACAGATGGCACCTGACCCAAAGTCATACAAACCCCCAGAATGTTAAAATATCCGTTTATGCTGCTGTCAATGTCGTGAGTGAAGTGTAGACACACCTGAGCTATCTTTAAACTACTTATCTTTCACATCAACAGCAGCCTAGCCACAGAAGCCTGGAGCTCAGTGAAGGCTGTAAAATCTACCCAGGAAGCCAATAAATATTTAGGAATTAGCCTGAATTGCAGTCATTGCTGCTCTATCTAGGCTGCTTCTGGCACAAGAAGTAGCTAGCTACAATGCTGTCACAACACTGGGACAGCTATAAATACGCCCAAAGCAGTAGGAGAATATTTATTGTCGTTTGTGTGTGAAATCCGCCCCAAAATGTCACATTAGTAACTTCTCAGAAACACAAGGGTTGCCTTGATGACTACACATTAAAGTTCCCTATTCCCATCATCTTTTCTGGACAACCACTGTCCAAGCAGGCTGGAGCCCTGGACAATGTGGCCTTTCCCTTTGGATCACGGTAGGACACAATTTCCACCACAGTCATGAAGTCATTCAAGAGTCATAAAGGCACAGAGCTGTAAATCAGTCTCCTGGAAATACAAAACAGAACGGCCTAATAAATAATAATGTTTTTTAAATGTTGGG